AGATGGGAGAACTTGACATCCCTGGTGACCTGGTTGGCAGCCAGACCAAATGGGCTAAAACGCTCTAAAAACAGTGGAGATGTTGTGGACTTAGGCAAAGAAAACGAATTTTTTGTGATTTTTCTTATGCAAACACAACTCTTCTTGTACTTGGGAATAAACCCCGATCCTGGATGAGCCTGCATCTCTTTTCTCGATGTTCGACATAGCCACACACACGAACGTTTCTGCTACTTGGCCCAACAAACCTTAGAGACTCACTTTTCTCAGAGATATAAGTACTCTACCGCTCGCGCCTCGCTTGGCTCCCTACCTCGCCACTGGTCAGGATCTTGGAGTTATCTTTGATCGCGACTCTGTCATTTGAATTCCCCACTGGGGGGGGCAGCATCTCCCAGGGCTGCACTTCTTTTCATTTACGTAATATTACTAAAATTAGACACATCTTATCACGACAGATGCAGAAAACTAATCCATGCATTTGTTGCTTCAGGCGCTGGATTGTCAACTCTTGTTATCAAGTTGCCCTAAATGGGTCCATTGAAGCGCTCCAATTGAAATTCAAAGCGGCTGCAGCGGCGAGTACTGACGGGACTTAAGGGGGGAAAAGTCCCACATCTCTTCCTGTTCTAGCTTCTCCTGCATTTGGCTCCCTAGTTACAATTTGGAGTGGAGTTTGGAGTCCTCCCTCCCTCACCTATGGAATCTTCATCGGCTCGGCCGCCCCTTTCAGTCATTTGAAGAGCTCATGGTACATCACTTCATCTGGAACTCTACGCTTCCTCATGGAGTGCTGGGCTGGCTCGGTGTGATCTATCTAAATACCTAGGCCTACACGACGAGCTAGCACACGACAGGGCGAGCAACAGAGTCGTCGGACCTGTCAAGCCCCACCCGAAGCTCCTCTCCTGTGGGACCAGCTTTCCAGTCGGACGGTTCCGGGAGGCAGAACGACCCTCTCCACATTTAAGAGTAGGCTTAGGACCCGTTTCTCCTCGTTTGGTGCGGAGCTTGTGGTTGGGGCTGGATCAGGTGAGCTCCCTGAGCCATGCTCTTAGTTATGCTAGTCCCTGTGGGCCCTCAGACTTCGCGGGGACCTTTCCCATGGTGGCCACTGAGCTCCTCTCTTCCTCTCTCTTTCTGCACTCATGCTCCCTGTCCACGTTGATGCCATGTTAACTCCAACTCTCACTTCCTCTCCCCCGGAGTTCTTCGCTGCTTCTCGCCTCGCTCTGCCCGAGGTACTCCTCCAGTGCGTCCTGGGTGGAGCCTCCTGCCATGCGGTCCTGCTAACTTGCCATTGCTAATGATCACTCGATACCTCCCCGTATCGTCTATTCCTCACCTTTCTTCTACGTTGTTGCTCTGACTATTGTTCTCTGCTGCGGTTGCTGTCTCCTCCCGCTGCTCCTGTCCCCCGTCGTTTTCTGCTGTCGCCGTCGCGTCACGCGCACCCCGTCTTCTTTCATGATCGTCATCGATCATCGCTACCTGTTAACTGTGAGTTGCTTCCTGCTCTCCTGTCGCTCGCTGTCACATCTGTGTTTGTGCTCTTGCTCTTTCGCCTTCTCTCTCTGCGTTCTTCTGTCTTCCTCTCTCTCCTCTCACCTTCCTCTTCTCTACCTGGTCAAGGCAGATGACCACCCCACCTGAGCCGAACGGGTCCTGTCCTAGGTTTCTGCGGCTGTAGAAGGCAAGTTCCTTTCCTTGCCGTCTCCGAACGCTGTCGCTCATGGTGGGTTACTCGTTGGGTCTCTGTAAATGTATACACACGCGCGTTCACGCTAGACTCGCCTCTAATTTGAAAACGTGTCCTGAGATCAGACTTTGTTATCGAATTGGCGCTCATACAAATAAAATTTGAAATTGAATTGAATCCGATTGTGATTCTAATCAATATGAGATGCCGGCTTATAGCCCAAATAAATCAGTATTGATAATGGGTTACACATAAGTTCGAGGCTGTTGCTACTTACTGAATTATACAGAATGCTCATAATGGTTGGGTTCTCTCTTACCCGATACTCGTCTGATAAGCGTGGTGGTTATTGATTACCCGCCCGGTTACCCCCGTGCAACTTCTCATTCCATCCGCAGACGAGGCAAGTACGCCATAAAAACACCAACCGAAGAAGAAAGAAGTTGTTCTGCCAGCGGAACAGAAAGAACGAAGACACTGCTCAGCCTGGCATGGTAGCATTAAGCTGTGCAGCTTACGCTCATATGTGCCGCACAACGAGCACGGCGCCATCTAACAGTCTCAGGCAGCCTTCCGTAAGTCACGCGCTTTGGTGTGTCTTTCTGTAGGCAGACTCATCTCCACCTTTATTATAGGTGACAAACCATATTGATTGATGATAGATAAACCGTTTCTTATAGATTATTAATGACAGATAGACCATTTATTATGGATTATGGATCATAAATAAAATATATTATTATTATTATTATTATTATAAACAGGGGACTTTACCTGAAGCAACTAAAATAATGACAGACAAACTGCAGGTGATAATAAATACTTTTTATTGATCAGTTGAACAGAAGTTGATTGACAGCATGCTGAACAGAGCTAAGGCACATGAAGCTGTGAGGTCAGAGGTCAGGTGGCTTCGGACGAGTCACCAGCATCTTTGACACAAGTTATAAAAACACACCTGAGCAGGTGAGAAGCCACCTCACTCGTATAAAAAACACTAATTATAAGTCAGTCCAATCAGGAGGCAGCTCACCTGGACAAAAACATTTTAACCAGACAGGTCAAATGGTCATTCACCTGTCAGAGGAGTCACCTGTCAGGAGGTCGCAGGTCACAGCAGGACGAGGCGGAGTCAGGGGTCACAGCCTTTGATCAGTTTTTGGCCTGTTTCCTCTTTTGGACGAGCTCTGCCAACATCTTATAACGAATCATACACTCCTCCTGAAAAACAGATCAATCATTTAATAATCAGTTTATTAATAATCTAACAATTATTTCACCAGTTTGTCTACCTGCCAGGTGGACTCTCCTCACCTTCGTCTTCCCAGGGACCACTTTGGCGATGCGGTCCCAACGTTCGGGGGTTCCTCGGGGGAACTGTTGCAGAGCGAGTTCCAGCAGTTTCTGCTGGTTCTGAGTCCAGACGGCAGGGTCCGCCTTCTCCCTACTCTCCTGAGGCTCCGCCTCCTCTTCCTCCACCGCTGTCGGGTCAAAATCTTTCTGCCGACGACTTCTGATCTTCACCTCCCCCCCTTCTGCTGCCACCAACTTCCTGCTCCTCCTCCTGACCACTGCAGCTGCCTCTTCCTCCTCCTCTTCCTGCTCCTCTTCACAGGCTCCACCCCCTCTCTGACTCATCACACTGTCAGCAACCGGAAGTGACCTCACAGGAAGAAGAGGTCCTTTCAGCTCCGACAGCTTTACCAGACCTGAAACACAGACAACACCAAAATGAACCTAACCTGTCAGTGGAACCAGATACTGACAGTGAGAACCGGACACTGAGGAAAACCAGATTACTGACAGTTGGAACCGGACACTGAGGAACCAGATAATGACAGTGAATCCGGACCAACTGACGAACCAGATACTGGACATGAGAAACCCGGACACTGACAGAGGAACCAGAGTACTGACAGAGGAACCAGATACTAACAGTGGAACCGGACAGTGGAACCGGACAGTGGAACCAGATACTGACAGTGGAACCGGACACTGACAGAGGAACCAGATACTGACAGAGGAACCGGACACTGACAGAGGAACCGGACACTGACAGAGGAACCGGACACTGAGAGAGGAACCGGACACTGACAGTGAAGAAGAAGAATAAGATATACTTTATTAATCCCCAATGGGGAAATTTTTTTTTCACTTACTTTACACACAGGCCCAAAATACAATCAAGGGCTTATAGACATGCAAAAGTGGTGAGATGGTGGAGTGATGCGCAAGCAGTTAGGGGTTCGGTGCCTTACTCAAGGGCACCTCGACAGTACACACTGTCGACTATGGTCTGTGCTGGACTTGAACCGGCGACCCTCTGGTTCCCAAGCCAAATCCCCACAGACTGAGCTACTGCCGCCCCTTGGCAAACCTACTGACAGTACATACTGACAGTAGAATGTACAGTAGAACATACAGTAGAAAGAACGTAGAGGATACCTGAGGTGTGGCTCACGTTTTCTTTCATCTGTTTGACTTTAGTTGTCACCTGTTGAAGAAAATATTCAGTCAGTTTCTAATGTTAAAAAGGAACAGGAACATTTAATATTTGTTCTCATCAGAGTCACATGTTTCAGATGGACATCAGTCTCATCTTTATTATTTGTTATCTAAGTTACAAACATGTCTTAAGGCTATAAAAACCTGGATTAGCTGCAATTTTCTGATGTTAAATTCAGAAATTCTTGTACTTGGCCCCAAACACCTTAGAGACTCACTGTAGATATAAGAAGGTAAGATATAGTGACTGTAGATGGTATTACCTTGGCCTTTAGCACCACTGTCAGGAATCTAGGAGTTATCTTTGATCAGGATTTATCATTTAATTCCCACATAAAGCAAACCTCTAGGACTGCCTTCTTCCATTTACGTAATATTACAAAAATTAGACACATCCTGTCACAGACATGCAGAAAAACTAATCCATGCATTTGTTACTTCTAGGCTGGATTACTGCAACTCTTCAGGTTGCCCTAATAAGTCCATTAAGATGCTCCAATTAATTCAAAACGCTGCAGCACGAGTACTGACAGGAACGAGGAAAAGAGATCACATCTCTCCTGGTTCTAGCTTCTCTGCATTGGCTCCCTGTAAAATTTAGAATAGAATTTAAAATTCTCCTCCTCACCTATAAAGCTCTTCATGGTCAGGCCCCTTCTTATCTTGAAGAGCTCATAGTACCCTATTACCCCTCTAGAACACTACGTTCTCTGAATGCTGGGCTACTTGTGGTTCCTATAGTCTCTAAAAGTAGAACAGGAGCCAGAGCCTTCAGTTACCAAGCTCCTCTCCTGTGGAACCAGCTTCCAGTCGTGGTTCTGGAGGGCAGACACCCTCTCCACATTTAAGAGTAGGCTTAAGACATTTCTCTTTGATAAAGCTTATAGTTAGGGCTGGATCAGGTGAGTCCTGAACCATCTCTTAGTTATGCTGCTATAGGCCTAGACTATCAGGGGATTTCCCATGATGCACTGAGCTCCTCTCTTCCTCTCCCTCACCTTCTGCACACATTCATGTCCCATTAATGTATTTTACTAACTTCACTGTTACTAACTTAACATTAACTTCCCTGGAGTTCTTGTGCTTTCTTGTCTCGCAGGTTCTCATGGATCCTGGTGGTGCCTGCTGCCATTGTCCTGCTTGACTCCCACTGCTAATATTACTGTTATTATTATTATTATTATTGTTATTATTGTCTCACTTGTGGAGCCAGCCTCAAGTGTCCGTTAAAAGAACTGTAGTTTTTGTTACTTCCCTGTTGGCCAACAAGCACTATGAGCAAAATAAATATTTTGAGTTAAGTTGAGTTGAGAAATGTTACACTGGAGTTTCATGTAAGAAAGGTTGAATATTGCAGTCTAAAGAAATAAAGGATATGTTTATGTTATATTTAAAACATGAGAACCGAAGATAAAATGAGTGCAAAAAAGTTAAGGATAATACTTTAAACCATCCAAGAAAAGAGACTGAGAGGATTCTCCCCCCAGCAGGACAATGACCCGCAAACCAGTCAAATCCAGACAGAGACAGTTTCATTGAAAAGAAGTGAGGAAAAGTCAACCTCCGGACAGGCCAAGTCTTCTCCCACACTCCAACACAATAGAGCATTTGTGGTAGGACTTGAACATTATTGTTAATTTGTTGTTACTTAATTTTAGGTAATATTTGAAGAAATATGTGTGAAGTTAAATATATTTAGATTTTCTTCCTTAAACACTTAAAATAAGTCTAGTGTGCAACATATAAGAGGATCTATTGTTAGAAATGGAATATAATATTCATAGTAATGTTTTTATTAGCGTACAATCACAAAAGCAGGTTTTATCCCAGCTGCTGTGTCCACCAGCAGGTAAATGTGTCAGAAAAGCTTTTTAGTCTCCTTTCATGTAAAATATTGTTCAGTACAGTGCTAATATTAATGTCAGCACTTTCACACATGTACATGGTCTAGAGGCTGATACTGACTGTTACTTGGCTACACTAAGGTACTGAGGATGCAGAAGTCCTGTCTGTCAGGTCACTGGCCGTGGCTCATATTAAATGCAATTATCCTCAATTTCCAGTGTAAATTACCAGACCAGTATATCAATATGGGGAATGTTTGTGGTGAGCTATTTGTTGGCAGCCAGAGATGACAGATGTTTAGATATTTTTCCAAATCTTTTTTTGTTGAACTGAAGCTGATCACTGAGTCTAAATTGTTGCCATAACAGATCATTTTTAATACATAATTTTTTTTAATTCATCTAAATTTAATGTGTTAAATTTGACAGCCTTTGACACCAAACTGGGTGGGCCAGGCATGTTTTAGTGATGGCAGCTGCCACCACATGCCAACCCTCTAGATCTGTCCCTGTAGACTTTCAGTAAGAAGAGGAGAGGGTGAAGAACAGTGACGTTCTTTGTTTAGGTCATGATGACTCTCTACAATATTGCTAATTTCTTGTGGTCAAGTTGGCGTCAGAAGAATAAAGATGTTACAGATTACAGTAGGATTCATGCAGCTTCTTAAAAGCAAAAGTCTGAAACTTGAGTAATGTGCTTGGTCTTCCCCAGAATCAAATAAGAAGATTAATATAATTTTTATTCCACGTGTCCAATGCAGGGACAAGTCTGAGACATTTTTAGCTAAAGCTACATGATGCCTATTAAAATGCTTTATTTTGATCATAGACCTTCAGCTGGCATCAAACTCACAAGATAAAAAAACAACACTTTTATATTGGAGCCACAGAATGTAACAACCAATCAGAGGGTGCTTACAAACAGTTACACCTCCAAAATTGGTAAGAGTAAAACTTAAAATTTGACAAACAATATATTTGAAAATCCATTAAAAATAGCAAAATGAAAATAGAAAAAAACTAGACAGGCAATTCAAGTAAGGAATGTTATGTGGGACTTATATATTTATACATATATATTGTCTGTCTCATCCTTTTCATCAATCATTTCTGATACTCCTGTGGTACTTTAACAATGTTGTTGGTTTATATTGTGAGTTTAATGCCTGACAATGGTCTATAACCAAAATGCTGAAGATAGACAGGAAGGGGGGTCAAAAGAGGTGAGGAAATGCAGCAAAGGGCCACANNCAGCAAGGACTCAGCCTTGGTAAATGGGTTGCCAGCCGTATCAGGTGAGCTATCTAGGCTCCTCCCAAAATGTGGCATTTCTAATAATTTAGTGCTGAAACTGAGCACCAATTATTTCCTTTTATTTTATTAATTTTTCTATGCATCTGTGTACCATGTGTGCATTAAAAGACTCAATTTAAAAACAAATAGACACTGTGCTTGTATAAATCTCTCTATATAAGTATAAATAAACAATAAAATATAAATAACTTTATACTGAGAAACTGCTGTGTTTCAAATAAGGGTATTGATACAAATAATACTTCAATCACAACAATGCTTTAACCAGAAAGAATCCTGTTTTGCTGTGATATTAACCAACCTTATCACTGTGTAAGTCACTGTGTTACTCCAGTATGACAGACAAATGCACTGACAGTGTGGGGAAGCAGCAGGTCCAGTGTGTAGGATTTTGTGGCATCTAGCAGTGTAGGTACAGATTGCAACTCCCTCACTTCACCCTCCCCTTTCAAGCTCAAAGGAGACACTAAATGTGAATGACCCTATCTAGAGCTAATGTTTGGTGTGTCAGTTCTGGGCTACTGCAGAAACATGGTGGTTCAACATGGTGGCTGTATATATAAAACACTCATCAACAAAATCATAGTGATTCCTATATGCAGGTGATTATACACTAATAAACATAACAGTGCTAAACAGTGCTACTAGATGTCGCAGTAGAACATCAGCATTCAGTGCTGCATTAGCATCAATGTAGTTAATACTTGGTAACAAATGTGCCTGTCAAGACACATCCACTAAAAGTTGTTGTTTTTAAAATAAATAAAAATAAAATAAATCCTTAAACAGAAAAAACAATGTAGATGAAAAAAACGGCTATTTCATTTGCTCTACTCAGATGTGCATGGAGTAGGTAAGTAAACAAACCACAGAGAAAGACTGTAACAGGCAACAACAACAACACAGGCATAGGGAGTGTAATTCCATTACTCTACTATATCATTACATAGCTAATAGCTGTTTGCTCCTATATTAACATTTTTAATCTCATATATATAAAATTGACGATTTTTCACAGATTTATGTCATCATCACTCCCTACCTCTCTCCACTACACCCACTCTCCCTCCCCTCCTCCCCCCTCTACCAATCACCTCACAGCTGGGGACTGTCACCCCCCAATCACTGCCACAACCAACCCGGTCATCACAAGATGCCAGGTGAGACGGCAGCTCACCAGGACCCGGATAAACAAGGCCAGAGGTCCAGACGACGTCAACCCGAGAGTCCTTAAGGTGTGTGCTGAGCAACTGGCAGGAGTGTTCCAGCATC